CTGGTCCATGCCTTTATCTCAAGCAGAATTGACTATTGCAATAGTTTATTGTATAGTGTCCCGGAATATCAAATAAAAAAATTGCAACATGTTCAACACGTGTGCTAGACTAATATGCAATGAAAGTAAATATTGTCACATTAATCCTCTATTGATGGAGTTGCACTGGTTACATATTAAGTTAAGAATTGAATTTAAGATTGTATTAATTGTTTTCAAGATTTTTAAGGGTTTTGCACCGTTTTATTTAAGTTCTCTAATTACACACAAGCCCAAGTCAAGATATAATTTAAGGAATTCCAGGGATAAGACCTTACTCAGTTGTCCTAGTTTTAAGTTTAAGGCATCACTTGGTGACCAGGCATTTATGTTTACGGCACCTAAGCTATGGAATAATTTACCAAGGGATATACGAGAATCTAGTTCTATTAATAGTTTTAAATCGAAGCTTAAGACATTTCTTTTTAAGAAAGCATTTTATAATTGATAAAGTTTTCATAGTTATTTATTCATTGATAAAGTTTAAATAGAACATTTCAAGTAGTAATTAGTTATTAGTTATATGTTATATATCTTATTTATTATGAATTGTATTTAATTGTTATTTTGTATTCCAATTATCATTATTATTATTATTATTTTTATTTTATCTTTTATATTTATTGTAATTATTATGTTAGGGCGCATTTGAATATATATACATAGAATTTGCCCCTTAGAAGTCAATAAATTATTATTGTTAATTACCAGTGCTCCTCAAATTTGCAGTTTCCAAGATGGTGGTGTTTTCATCAAGCAATCCTTCAAAGCTCTTCGGTGTTTCTTTGGTCTGCTAAATTTCCTCTCAAAAGGTTATTTAAATGCATGAAGATTTCAATTTTCAAAGCAATTTACAAAATATGGTAAATTACTTCTCTAGTAAATTACTTCTCTAAGTGCTCGTATATGCTTAAATCATGAATTGTGGTGATATAAACAAGTTCTACTAAACTTCACTTTTAAATTCACCATGTTTTCAATACATTGTCAGAAATAATAGATCAAAAATTTGGGAACTTTCTATCGGTCTGAATTTTTCTTTAACTGGAAATGATGAAAAATCTGATTTTTGACCTTGAAAATGGGAGGTTGACTTATACACAGGTTCAACTTATACGCAGATAAATACGGTAATTTATATTCCACAGACATGCATACATGTACAGATTTAAAGAGGGCTTAAAGTAGCCACTGAGATGCATGATGGCAAGTTGGCAATTATCAATCATGTTGCATAATGCTATTGAGGAAAAATCTGCTTAAATTTTTTTCCCTCAAAAGTCCAAAAAAATTGTGGTTTACAATTGTTTTCTTGCATCCTACAAACATCCTGTGTGGGTTATTATACCAGTAAACCAGCAGGAAAAGTATGTTATTGCTTAAGTATGCGCATATTTTTGATGACAAGAGAGTTGCCAGTTATCATGGTATTGTTGTGTCACTTTTTCAGGCTCTGGTTGGCTAAAAATTTAATCTGAAATTGACATTACAGTGCTGAAATGGGTTGCTCAGTTGGCTTTGAAATTCTGCAGGGTTGCTACAAATTTAATAAACCAAAATGAAACGTGGAGATGCAGCCTTTTGCTTTTACTGCAAAGGGCTGATCATTGACTTTCTAATTTCCTCAAGAATTCTTGAGGCACTGCATATGCATGTATTTCCTGGATAACTTTTGCAGAAAGATAGAAATTGAATTTTGAACAGGCACTAACTGATACGTTTCTACTTTTACTTTGTGCTCATAAAGACTGGATCTCAATTTTAAAAAAACTAATTGCAAGTTTGAGATACCAATTCCACTATAAAATGGCAGCGTTGAGGGGAAACCTATACCTGTATGGGATTCTTTGCTTTGCCACTCCCCATATGAGAAAATTTAATCTCCCATCTTGCTACTAAGTAGCAGTTAGTTAACAAAAGAATTATTATAATTATAGTATTTCCTAGGCAGCAGTCTTTGCCTCTATATTTAAGGTGCCCCTCATGGAACCTCAGGACTGATAGGGATTTTGTTTTTCAGGTCTATTTGGATAATGGAGCTCAGGTATGATCTTTTACTGCCATTAGCTTTCAGATCTTTGATACAATAATCAATCATTATTCATTGTTTGATAGCTTTAAGATGTTTCCATGTTTTAATTGATTCCACAGTGACAGTCTTTAATATATGCCTTCAACTTGCTATGTTCTCATACTCATTTGTTTTCAGAGTTTGTTGTGGTTTTTTCCCAAAGTCACTCTTTACTTAATTTTTTGTAAGTTGGAGACATCTGTACATATGCAACTGATGGTATAAGTAAAGAGAGAATTGATCTTTTTTCTTTTTTCCCTTTTTGTTCTCAGATCAAATCCCCTCATGACAAGGGTATTTCCCAGTGTATTGCTGAAAACAGAATTCCTTGGGAAAACTCCTGGGAAATCAGTCTAGTCAATCCACTTATTAAAGACCCTTATGAGGAGATATGTGCATCTTACTTTGAAGACATAAAAAAGTATTGCCATTACAGGTAATTGTGACATTTTTTCTTTCTCAATTTTTACTTTTCCCTGTATTCCTCTGTTTAAAAATATATTTAGTAAGTTTTTAGATTCAATTTTAGGTCTTAAAAATTGATACTGAGGTTTGTTGACTCTTATGGACTTCTTTCAACCCAAAAATGGAATAAGTTTAACTACAGTTATTAATTTTTCAAAACAGAAAACCCATTACACCTAACTGTTAACTTTTGAGAGTTTTGACCTATTAAGGTGAATTTTATGATCCTTTTTGTGATTGTATTTGGTAGCTGCCTATGACACCACATAAAATAAAGAATAGGTGGCTATTAACGTAGCGTGGCAGCATGAATCAGGTCACATGATGATTAAAAGCTATCATATGGTTGACTCTTTAGTGAAGACAACAGAAAAACCCGGCTGAAATACACTTTCACTCCTATGCATGGTGTTGGACAGAGGTTTGCTGAGCTGGCATTTGAGGCATTCAACCTACCTCCTTTTGTATCTGTGAGAGAACAGGTATATTCTGATAACTAACCTGGTAATTCTCCCTTTCTCCCTTTCTCCCACAATCAGCATATCAAGATTCATTTTCATGCAAAGTTGAAAAAATTTTGGTCAAATAACATATACCAACCAATTGTTTATTAGCAAATTATTTAATGCATCATAATGCTTTGTGATTTTTTCTAAAGATGGATCCAGATCCTGAATTTCCAACTGTAAAATATCCTAACCCTGAGGAAGGAAAGAGTGCCTTAGTGAGTGAAAAGATGAGTCTACTATCAATGAAAATCTTGTGACTGCAAAGAATAAAAGTTGGTTTTTGAGTAGTCTAAATATAGCTTCTCAGAATAAGGAGGAAGAACTGTTTAGAATATGGAGACTTCAAGCAACAATGCACACACAAGCTGCTTTAAAAATATGATGAAATATACAATGTTATAGAATAAAGTAGTCATAAGATTTAGAATCACTGTTTATAAGCTTTTTCAATTTTGCATTAAGGACCTTGCAATGAATACTGCTAATGAGAATGGCTGTTCCATTATTCTGGCAAATGATCCTGACTCTGATAGAATGGCTCTTGCAGAGAAACAGCCAACGTAAGTAACATATTCACAATTAGACACATCACAATTGATTCACATTAGCTGTGCACACTGAACCAAAAAAGAGACAGTTACCAGTTTACAGTTGTTCCTATCTTGTTTTTTCCTTCTATGTTGATGTCGTCTCCTAATTTAGACTACACTTGCCACATTCATGAAGCTGCAATTTAAATTCAGACCGTTATAATTATTTTCAACATTGAAAATGTATAAGCATTCAGCTTTCATTTTGTGCCAGATGAAGAGATTCATCTCTACCAATGACAGGAATTTCCAGAGAAATTACATATACACATTTTCGGAAAGAACTTTTTAAGTTCTATTCATTGTGGTCATAGACATTATTTAACTACAGAAAAAAGAGATTTCCATCTAACCCCTTACTAGTCTAAAACAAAGGCATAGTCCCAAAGACAATCCTTTGCTTGTTTTTTAAATTTAGTTTTTATGTTTTATCATTGTCAAAGTATCATACATTATAATTGTTATCAATGTTGTTATTTTTAGAGAAAAAAGGAATGGTGGTAGGCCAGCTGATTAGCTATGGTTATGTTCAGATTTAATTTTGGTGCATTCACATTTCTGACCAAGTCTTTTTCTTTGTGTGTTTTAACATTGAAGTGGTCAGTGGAAGGTATTCACTGGAAATGAGATTGGAAGTATGTTTGGATGGTGGGCATTCACTTGTCACAAAAAAAAACATCCTGAGCTATATCCAGGTATCAGCATTCAAAGCATGAACATTACTAATTGAGAGTAGTTGGGTTTTTTTTTTTGTTAATTTGATAAAATTCCCTGCTTCATACTTACATAAGGACTGTAACCTTTCAAAAGATAAATACAACTTGGAGGCTCCATATTTGGACCTCCAAACTAGATTTCTTCCAGGGTTATTACTAAGCGACTTTATAAATTGTATTTCTTATCAATAAGTCTATTGATCCCTCCAAAATCCCACTAGCTGGAAAAAGTGGGTACTGGCACATCTTGAAAACAACCTTGATTTTTAAAGCAACTTTTGAAATTTAACCTTGATTTCAAGTCAACCTCGAAATCAACCTTGATTTCAAAAAACAGTTCCACATTTTGGAGACAACATTGATTTCAAGGCAACTTGAATTTTTTATAGGTGAATAATGTTCACAATGTCTCACTCCTGAGTTCTGAAGAGGGTGTGAAAAATATTATCTTGAGTGATCCTCTTGTTGCGCCATCAGGCTGTTTTTTTTGGTCTGAGTGAAATTTTTTTGTGTGTTGCATGGTTGTTCAATCCTGATGAATCGAAAGCAGGGACATTGAAGTTATTATAAAGAAGTACTTCCCTGTTTGAGTTGTGGTGATACCAGCTTATTGCTTTTTCCCTTATGAATGTCTCAATGAAGAGATTCTGGGGGGATGTTTTGACAAAAAAGTGAAAAAGTCGCTTGTTTCTGTTTTTTCATCAACGTAATTCTTGGTCACTGCATCTTGGTGGCTAGTTTGATTAGCAAGATTGACAATCTTTTTATTGTTCATATCTTTATCAGTTTCTTGAATTGATTCGTTAGGATTGCTAGGGTCTATTGAGAAACTTATTTTTTATTAGGTTTTTTCTAATTGACAAATTCCTTCAGGAGGCAACTCAGTTCCAGGAGGAACAATCTGAAGCTCTTCTCTGACAAAACCACACTTTGGTCCATCCTTCAGATAGTAGAGAACAGGCTCATTCTTATTTACAAGTGTTCTATCAATATTGAAGAACTTCATAGACCACTCAGGGTCTGAGGCTCACTTCTGACCACCTTCCAGCTCACCAGCGGCAAAGAGATATCTCACATTTGAAAAGTCTAGTCTCTTTTCTTTCAAGCCAATAGGCCTTGAATAAGTCGTTGAACTCTTTACATCAACCGACTTGTCTTTGATGGCAACCACAGGTTTCTTTCCAGTCAACCTGGTCACCTCGCTATTCAAAGCTGAAACAACTTCTGGAAGCCTCTTCACCCATTCAGTTGATCTCTTTCCCCCTTTGAAGTTCATCTCTTGACTGTACTGGAAAGTGAAGAGGCGTTCACCCAAAGTTCAAATGAATTGTTCAATGATTCCCTGATCTCTGTAAACATTCACATTCTGTCTTCTTATTCTCATATCATAAACGGTTGTGAATATATGGAAGTTATATATTATATATTATTGCGAAGATCGCTTTCATACACGTCTCATATCATACTTTGTCATCTCTCTTGTGACATCACCCATGAATTCATGGCCAGGATCAACCTGAAGAACGTCATCTCAGTGGTCCACGCTTACAGATTGTCTGAAAAGCTCTTTGAAATCTCAGAAGAATCCTTTGAGGTGAGAGGTTCGGCAGCCTTGAATCTGCTTGCAACACCAACAACTTTAAATGCGTACTTACAGACTTTCCTCGATCTTAAGGTCGCTTTGTCATGTGGAAAGAAGATCAGTTTGATGAACTGCATTTGGAGATTGAAGATCAAAAGTTGGTCTCGGGATATACTTCAGGGCAAGCAAATAAATCTGCCAGATGGCTTACTTCATCAGCCAAAGCATTGCATCGTCTTTAGAACAGCAGCACCGAACAGGAAAGAAGGAGGTGCCGACAGTTCCATTTAACGAGAATCCAATCAGCGGCTTGAATGAAGAGATTAAGATCTTGTTACCCCAAATCAACCCTTCAATGCAAAATTCAGATTAATATTCACAGAAATGAAAATTCAGCACACCTCAGGTGAAGAATCAAAGAGATGTTTGATATTTCTGATGTTTCACATCTACTTTACCGTCAGAAGGATTCTCTTTGAGATGGGTGGAATCTAGAGTGAATCGGCTCCTCCTGGTGACCCAACTTTTAGCCAGGTAAACAATAATTATGACACTCTATTGCTCAAACGAATACGTGCCGAATTTGGAATATGATCAGCTACAGGCCGCGGCAGGCCACGAAAGGGTAGACTTCCGCTTCAAAGAAGGTGATAATCACGATCTCGGATCTGTTTTCATCTATGTGACGAATGTTGGTCCGGGAGCAGATCATCCAATAACCTATCCTGGAAGAAAAAAGTTCAGCAATGGGGGTAGAAAAGCCATCAAACGCAATCACATTTATCTCATAAGAAATGATAATGCGAAAGTTGATAGGCAATTCGACTTCTTCATGGCAGACAAGCCAGAAGGTCTGACGCAAGCTAGGATGACGGGACTGAATTAGATGATTGAGATATTCGTTAATTGAATTCTCGGTGTACAAGTCTATGTCAGATCATCAATCTTGGGTTCATCAGGAAGCGCTAAGGAAGCACAACGTATGTTCTTTGTATTGAGGATGTGATCAGAAAGTCAGACATTTCGAAGAGCGTTCAGAGGTTTCAGCTCACTATTGATGAGGTGAAAGTCCAGCATGATCTTGCAGTCTCACCAGGCACCTGGCTCATGCCCTCAACTTTTTTTCTTAACACTCGGTTCGGTTTAATAACAGCCTGAAGAAGGCAACTGCCGAAATGAAGCTCGGAGTCAACAAATCAATGGAGATGAAATCAGTCGGAGAAACGCACATGAATGCCCATACCTTTGGCCAGGCCGCGGAGCGGCAGGCCCCAGAGGGGCACCTCTCACCCTTTAAATAAAGTGAATACGACCTCAACTGAGGTTTAGGTGAAGACACCACGAAGGTTAGATAAAACAAATCATGATATGTTGAAGGTAGGATTGATTTCAGCTAGACTGGTATCAGCGTTGTTGGTTCCTCGCTTGTTCTTCTGAACGCGCTCAACCCTTGATTATGGCTACTCCCATTGTTAGAAGCCATGCATTTTGACCGAGGAAGCTGATCACTGATCCAATAGTCTTGAAAATCAAGCCAACTGTGGAGCCTATGAAGTGTGGAGAGCTATTTTGCGTCCAAGAGTCTTAAAACCATCCCTTACTTCTATGGAAACAGATTCTGGCCTCTTGTCAATGCGCTCACAATCATTCCAATCGTTCTTCCCTCTGCTAGGACAACAGCTGAGACTGTGAAACCGTATTTCTTGAATATGTTTCTCACTCTCTCTCTTAGTGAAGTGCCTTCTTCAAGTTCTTCTCTCTTATTCTCAAGAGCAACATTCCGCTCTCGATTTCCTATTACTCTTTCTCTTACTCTTTCTCTTATAGCTTGGTCTTCATTCTCATCATCAGCAATTCCCCGATCCTCCTTAATTGACTTCTGTTTCTCTTCAATTTCTTTCTCCTTCTGAGCAATCAAAGCCTCTCGCTCTGAGGTTTTCATTTTGTTTGGGAGTGATAGATCCAACCTTTGCTTACTCGTACCCTTTTCTTCAGTATATAAAGGATGTTTTCTTGCCTTGAACAAATATCTTTACCTGCAACCTTCTTGTCTTACTACAAGAAACCTCGAGTTCCGAAGCGTCTGCCTCAGGATAAATTCTGGTAAGTTATTCCCATGCGTTGTCATTTGTAGTGATGACTCGCTAATGAGTAGTATCACCTACAATGAAAGATGTGTCTGAAGTTTTTAACCCCTTCTCTTCTCCCCTATTCATTGTCGTCTTTAAAGTCATTAAATCTTCTTCATCTGATGGCCTTGGAGTTGAATTATAATCAGGTTGAGAAGGTGTTGATGCATTTCCTTTATCATCATCGTCATCGTCGCCGTCGTCGTCACCGTTGTGTTTCAATAGAGTACAGTATCTCCAAAATCATCCATCTTTTAATGATATATCTGTTATTTTAAAATGGGAGTCAGTGGAAAAAACAACCCATTATATTTTCAAAAAGAAGACGTCAAATGCCCTCTAGACTGACCGTGCGATTCACAGAGTAACATTTAACCCTGATAGGACATCTCCAGGTTAAGTCCTTAGAGTCCTAGATCCAAAGCTTGACGACGGAGTCGTCCTTGTGCCAGGATCTCTTTTACTCGTCTTTGAGTTAGTGGTAACGAAAACAATTATATCGTGAATAATGTCACAAGAGCTCTTGTTGACAGGTTGACTGTGAAATTCACGTGAGAAATCGCGCAGGACACTGATGGTTACGATATATTCAAGCTCTACGAGGACCTCTTCTTGACTGAGAATGAGAGGGCAAGCATGTTCAGAGAAGCTGTTCAGTCTATTGATTTTTCGAAGATCAGATGCAAAGCTGAAGATAAGAAGAAATCAAGAAATGACAAGGTGGAGAAGTTCATTGATGCTTATGAGAACAATTATAGGATTCCATCGGACCATGACATTCTGAAGGATCATGGAGTCTTCTTCCCAAGAGCTCTTTCTGTATCGATGAGCTTCTATTCGAGTTCAGGCTTGCACCTGTAAGCATTGTTGTGCTAGGATCTAACAATACACAGCTCGCCCATGAGTTGACTAACATCCAGCTTGAGTGTGGAGTTATTCACAGTCCAGAACTCGCTGATGAGGCCTCGTCTAACTACAAAAATGGAAAGAGATTCGTGTACGAGCACGTCACTCATCTCAAGACAGTCTCAGTGAATAAGGGATTAGACACAATCATCAATGAGAGCATCAATGTTCCAAGGAGGTCAATAGAGGGACTTGTTCTTCTTTTTAACGAGGCATATGTCGCTGGTGCTCACGACAGTGAGAAGACATTTAATCCTGATGTCACTGAAGTGAAAGTGATTGTCAATGGAATCCCAAATAAGGTTCACAGTCTAGGAATGAAGACAAAAAAATTATGGGAAGAGGTGTTCAGGAGATTTGGAAAGGAAAAAAGCGCGATGAATGCAACAGACTTTTATGCTGGAGACAGATTCACTCTTTTCATCGATCTCAGGAGTATGAGAGACAATGATCTTCATGGAAGTGGATCGAGATTGGTGAATACGAAAGGAGGAGTTTAACTCGCAATTAACAGGAAAGCGTCACGCTCAGGGAATGTTAAATGTCACATCTTCATCCTCTCAGATGCTCAGCTCAACATCATTAACTGTGAGCTTGAAAGCGTAACTTTTTAATGAAACTTCTCATTTACAAAGACACTCCTATGACAGAAGAGCAAGTCAAGGCACACCACGACTTCTTCATAAGAAGGTACAACATGGATGCCGATCCTGTTGTACGAAACCATGAAGCATGCTTGGAAATAATTATATTTCACAGGTGATGTTGTGAAATTCAAGCGTAATGATGCGTGATGAAGCAAAGGCATGAAATCTTTACACGAACAATTAACGGTCCGATGGCGCGACAAGAGGATCATTGGAGATGATGATATTCACATCCTCTTCAGAACTTAGGTAAATACTACATATATATATATATATATATATATATATATATATATATATATATAGAGGGAGTCTGCAAGTCGATTTTCGCGTGGAACAGTGCCCA